CTGTGCTCATGTATAAATAGAAATGTTGCTGTTGCCCTGATGAATCAGACCAGATGTTTCTCTGATGTCTCTGTTTGGTCCTTTGGTTAAAAAAAAAAAAGCATAATTTTGCTAAAATTGTATGTGGGGTTCAGGAGTGTGGCACAAATGCTTTAAGTTTCAATAACATGTAGAGAATAAAGTTGCTTTACCAAGAAAACCTTTAACAATAAGAAAAGTAACCATGTAGAGTGGGACAGAAGAGGGGGAGAAGCAGTTAAGCTTTTGGACTGGATGGGTTGAGGTTTGGAACACTCAAATTTGACTTCTTCCTGTATCTCTAGCTATACGACCTTGGGCGAGTCTAGTCATTTTTCAGGGTCCAGATGTGTTCATTCTAATTCCTTTCGAGAGGGGATCTCACTGTACTGCTCAGGCTGTCTCAGTAACATTCACCATCATAGAAGCAAGGTATGCCTATTTTCAACCGAGGAGGGGCAGGACAAAAAACGAATGGAATGACTGCACTCATCAACCTGGTTTTTAATGTCTTTTGCAGTCCCATATGTCTAAGAACAAAACAAAGTTTTCATTGTCTCTTAATCTAGGTTCATTGTTTCCTGGTTTCTGGTGTCAGTGGACGTTTGATAGGAGAAAGACATTGTGGGAGAACAAACGTGTATAAGTCTCTGCCTTCATGATGTTTATAACCTCTTCTGGGGATAGTAAGAGGTATAGAGAGGACTATACCATCTTATTCATTGTGATTGATCCCAGAAGTGAAACAGGAACAAATGCTATGGGAACTCAGGGGAAGCTGAGGTCATCGCCAGCTTGGAGAATAATGAATGACTTTGATAGTTTGGGACCACATTTGAGCAGTCCTTTTAAGCTCGGGATGGTTCTGCATTTTTCTTTTCTGTAGGCAACAAGGGACTTTAAAATAAAATTTAGTTTTCGATGTGATCTGATCTGGGCTATGCTTTATGATAATTCACCTCCAAGGAAGGTAAGATAAAACTGCAAGTGGAGAGTTCCCAGGGGAAGGAGGATAGCTAATCAGGTCTGAGGTTCGCGGGTGTCAGATGACTAGTTTTGTAAGTCTGAAGTAGAATCTACTAGTTCCTTTTTAATAAATTAGAGATGGGAAGGCTGTTTGGGTGAGGAAAGGGGGAACAGGAAGAGATTATTTGTGAAGCACTCAGTCTGAAATCCAGGAAATGCCATCTTGGTGGATGTATTCAACATTTATAAAGTCCTGACTGGACCTCAGCACTACAGACGGGGTAGTGATGGGAATCCTGAGCTCAACATTATTCATCTTATACTTAGACAAGTGCTTGGATTATCAGGGAATTGGAGATAGAGGGGAAGGCTGACCGACATCTAGAATGCAATCATAAAGTGCGAGGTCTCCATGCTCCAGAAGAAAGGGAATACTAGAAGGGAGTGCAGACATGTCACAGCTGGAAAGTTGTGAGAGAGAGAAAGGGGAGGGCACTTACATAGGGTATAAAAAATGTGGGACCTCCTGAATATGTGCATTTTCCAACAAATGGATGGGGAAGACACACAAGCACAACATAGCCTTGAAGCTGAGACAGCCAAGATTCAAATCCTCATCTCTCCTTAAGATCAGACATACTCCCAACCATTGACCTCTCTGTGCTTTAGAAACTTCAAACTGTTTGATTTTGACTTTTAGAACATCAGCTAGGTCAGTCCTCCCCTTAACCCTCACATCCGTCCACAGGTTCTCAATTTCAGGTCTTGTACTACTTGTCGGATTCGATTTGGGGGCTAAGAGTTCCAATGACTATGCACATGCTGGCCATCTCTAAAGGTCTACGACAGAGAGCAAAGTGACGGGAGGCCACGGGTAAGGGATAATCTCACAAAGGTCTGTCTGCAAACTAAGGTTTCCCGAAACTGCCTTCCTCTGAAAACCTGGGATTATATCACAGAGATGCCACAGGCACAAATTCAAGCAGCAATGCAAATTGGTTTATCACTTCTTGTTTTTGTTTCTCTATATTATTTTTTTAATGACAATCACTTGCAAAAATACACATTATCTAGAAATGTCAGAAATGTCACTTGCTGCAAAACAAAAATTTTTAGGAATGCAGATTTATTATGAGATTTTAAAAACTACGCTACTAAAAGTTTCTTATTTGTATTTTGTTCAGAGTCTCAAGTAGACAGGCTGGTCCCCACATCTATTTGTTCCTAAGAGTAACCTTGACTCCTGATCCTCCTGCCGCTACCTCCCAGTAGGGATTATAAACATACGTCATCCTGTCCTACAGAAGGCTAGCATTTTAATCTAGTTATCTTCAGATAGACTGCTTAATATTACTCCATACTTCAATTTTGTTTCTCATTTGCTAATGATGATTTTTAAAATTCTGATTCTGTCACAGAATTATTTACTGTTCATGTTTTGAAAGTATTTTCTTTTAAAACTAGAGATGTCAGATAACTTCCAGACATATATCACTGAATTAGATGATGACTTGAAGTTAGACTGAGCTCAAGATGCCAAAGTGAAGTAGGGACCTGGACCTTACTGGTCTGTGTGAAGACAGCAGGATTAGTGGGAGCTTGGCAGAGTCTTTTTCTTAACATGGATGATGACACTGAGAACAAATTTTGAAAAAAAATTCTGAATTTTAAGTACCACTCCTAATGCTGCTTTAGGGATAATTGCTTGGGTGAATACATTCCACATATACAGTAGATACTCGAATTTGTATGTCTGATGCCCATATTCACTTATTCTTTGAGATATCAACCATAATTTAACACAAATGAAAACACTATGCTGAGGGTTTTCTCTCCTTCCTTGCCTGCCTCCCTCCCTCTCCTGCAGAGGAGCAATGTCCCCTCAAAGACTTTTACACACTGGTGATGAGCTGGGCATGGTGGTGCACACCTTTAATCCTAATCATAAGGCAGAGGCAGGCAGATCCCTGTGAGTTCGAGGCCAGCCTGGGCTACAAAGCAAGCTCCAAGAAGGCCAGGGCTGTTACACAGAGAAACCCTGTCTCAAAAAAGAAAAACAAAACAAAAACAACACCCCCCAACAAAAAACGAACAAAACCCCCCAAACAACAACAACAACAACCACCCCACCCCCGCAGCTTTGTTTGGTGCCGGGCCCTGCAATTTCTCACTTCAACACCTCTCATTTACTAAAGAATGTATAATGGTTTGGAACTGGACAACTGGCTATACAGTCAGATAGAAGCACGTGGGTTTCTACATACTGGGAGGGATCACTCTACTACATCGCCAAGCAACAGATTAACAAATCCAATCACAGAGATCAAAGTTGAAGAAATCAGCATCATGGAGTGCTTGTAGAAGTACCTGTTGCAGGGTTGGTCGCTCTGCCAGGTAACCTGGACTGTCCTGTTTGCACCTGTTAAACAAGAGGCAGGATGAAAGGATCTCTAAGGTCACTTCTTGCTTTGAAACGCAATTACTCTATGTAAGAATTAGGAGAAAATTACAAAATGCACCTTCTAACTCCCACAAAGCCCAAACAACACACCAGGGTGCCCAAACTAGATTGACCTCTTCTAGAGGTCTTATTGTCCAAAGTAGAGAGAAATGAGGGCTGGGGTGGGTGAAACACAAAGCAAAAATCCTCCCCCGAAAAGATTTATTTTAAAAAGCAGCAACTAATTATGGAAAACGTCTGCTCGGTTCGAAGTAGCCACGATTATGAATTGTTGAATATTTATGATGTGCTAATACAATTCAAGTTGCTAATGTTCTATTTAAAATTATTACTATTATTTTGCCTGCAGTCTGTGAAACCTGGACTGGTGAATCCCACCTGGGTGAGCTCAAAAATGAAGCCAACATTAAAGAGGGAGACAGTTTACAAATAAGCCAAAAATAAAACACAAGTGATACTGTTAGAGGAAAAGAGAAGCCAACAGATTGCACAAAGATCAAAGGCAAAAAAGAGAGGCTTGTGTAGTTAATGCTAGGGCTTTGGGGGCATTTCATGTACTTGCGAGGCCCGTCCATTCGTCGACTCCACAAGTCGTAGCCAAGCTGTTCTAAACTGATGATAAAGCCAGCCCCAGGGCGGACAGGGCGCAAAGCGGGGATCTCGCACTGATCTCAGAATCCAAGATCCGGGGCCAGATCTTCCTTCTGGAAGAACGATGGCGTTTCCCCTACGGCGACTGTTCAATAAAGCAGGGTCTTCAATTTCTTCGTCCAAGAAGAGAGGAGCGTTGGTCCAGAAATCAACAGGAAAGGGGCTAAGAAAAAAGGGGAGCGCCTTCCCCATCTTTTTAAATTTCCCGCACCCTACTTTCTCTCCGCCTCCCCACACGGTCTCTGCTTCCAGCAGCAGCACGAGGATCCCGCACCAAGAGGCGGTCGGGCGGGACAGACTTTGGAAAGTAGGCGGGCCTGGCCCGATGAGTATCTCGGTGCTCGATTTTTGCTGTCTTCGGCGGCAGTTCCTCCACTCGGTTACTGGGTTGCACACGCGGCCGTGCGCTCGGCTCTCGATTGCACCGGCCTATCACCCTGGGATGCCGCCTGCCGCCGCCGCCGCCGCCAGCGCCGCGGCTGCCGGGCTTGTGGGTTTCACAGA